CCACCGCAGCCTCCACCTGCTGGGCTCTGCCAATCCTTCCGCCTCAGCTTTCCAAGTAGCTGGAACTACAGGCACGCGCTACCATGCCCAGCTAATTTTTTGAATTTTTGTAGAGATGAGGTCTTGCCAAGTTGCCCAGGCGGGTCTCGAACCTGCGGACTCAGGCAATCCACTCGCCTCAGCCTCCCAAAGTGCTGGGATGTGTGCCCGGCCAGAATGCGTGATCTATTTAAAGGTAAGGTCAGTAAAGAGGTCATTAAGTCAAAATGAGGTCATTGGGGTAGGCTTCAATCCAGTCCGACTGGTGTCTTACAAGAAAAGGAAATTGGAACACAGATACACACAGAACGAAGACCATACGAAGTCACCAGGAAAAGACGGCCCTCTATGTGCTGATGAAAGAGGTCTCAGAAGAAGAAAACCCTCTTGAGACTGTGATCTCTGACTCCTTGCCTCCAGGACTGTAAGGAAATACATTTCTTTTGTCTACGCCCCCCTGTACATTGCTATGGCAGCCCAAGCAAATGAATATGCCCCATTGCTCAAACTAATATGAGGAAATGAAGGATCAGAGAGGATAGGACATTTGCCAAAGTTCTACCGGCTATGGCAAGGTAGGCCTGGGATTTGATCCACGAGTGTCAGATTCCAGAAATTGTGCCTGTCACTAACATGTTCTCGAGCATGTCAGTCTTGAAACTGCTTCTCCTCACTTTTGAAACAGTGGCTGGCACTGAAACCTTTGACTTCTGGGGCACTGTCCTCACTAATATATCATGCTGTCACCCCTGCTATGCCGCTTTCCTCGAACGTCAGGCACTGATAAGTACATGAGCGTCTCAATGGGAACAGTACCAACAGGTGACTGACTAAGTTAGGAGCTCAGAAACTCTGCAAAGATTTGTGGTACTTGGACCTTTCTTTCTTTCCTCTTCTGATGAACTGAGGTAGAGGAGACTTGTTCTCCCAAGTGGTTTGTACTTGCCTGGAAGTGGAGTTAAACCTTCCAGAAAAATCGGGTGAGTGACAGGTATTTAGTATTGTGCTTCAGCTGTTGCTGCCACTGAAAAGTTGGTGGTTCTTGATGAATCAGGGGTAAATATTGGAATCTCCTGTATACATTTCTAAAAAAGCCCAAGTCCAGAACAATGGCCCAAGTCCAGATCTCACTCCAGGCATTCCACTGTAGGAAGTCTGGGTCAGGACCGGAGCGCCCTTAAGCATTTGTTTTTCCTTTTAAATCTTCCCTGGTGATTTTGATGTGTCTTATCAAATGGAGAAGCTTTGGAGTGGTGTAGAATGACTTACTTCTGTAGTTCCTTCTGTAGTTCCTTCTCAAACATTAAAATGGTTGCATCTAAACATGATAATAACATCTTAAAACGTAACGCTTTCGTTTTATTACCTACTCATAGGCTTTCCTGTTCTCTGTGGTTCTTTAAACTCGGTTGTATTCTGGGGATAGGAGGACATAATCCGGGGCCATTGTTCTCACAGAGGCCGCTGGAATTGATTACTCTCTGTGCTGGCCAGCATGTCTGAATGTGAGAGGCCAGTTGGCAGTAGGTCCTATCCGGTTGACCTGCAGACTTGAACTTGTTTGTACACTGTGCATTTTCCTCCTCCAGAGGGCTCCCGAGTTCAGCTGAGCAGACTGGCTTGTGCCCACCCTCTTTAGATGAAGAAATTAGCTAATAAGATTTGAGCCTTGACTTCTTGGAGGGACTCATGTTATATTATCTTCTAGGACTTCCTATTCTTTTCTACTGCCTTTTTTCCCCCCAGCTTTCAATCTCAATTCAAAGGATAAAGAATGTTTTCTTCTCAGGGTAACATCGAGTGACGCTAGAACACAGGGCAGAAACTGTGACCAAAACCTCAGGTCTTTAAAGGAGTGATCTCGAAAATACTTTGGGTGTACTTATAAATCAAAAGGTTGAGTTTACATCTTCAATATGTAGATAATTGACTGTGTATAAATTACGCACCCATACGATTTCCTATTCCTTATAAAATATGCTCTCCAAAATATTGTAAAGAGTGAACAAAAGAAAAAGTTCTAATACTTTCTTTCTGTATTTCAGTGAGGTCATTTTACTTTACAAGATGCTTTCCTTGACGCGGCAGGGGTTTGGGGAAAGAGTTGAGAGATGACCTTGGGGTTGTGTGGGCTGCAGCTACCTTTCTATTCCAGTTGTCATCCAGTTTTAGTGAAGAGTGGACTGTCCAGGGAAGGGCAGGACCTGACAGTCAGCGGGAGGGTGGCTTTATGTGGGTGGCTCAGAGCAATAAGGGTGATTTCCTGGGGAGCATTGGAGAGCTTGAGGCAATGACCGGCAAGCAGCAGGGATCTGAAGTAAGGGCATGAGGCAATTTTGGGTTTTGCCACTTTCGACTCAGTGAGCACTCCGAAATCAGCTTGGCATCCATGCAGACTTTGAGATTTCAGTGCAGAGTCACCACATTCATGTTTGAGCCACCGACATGGTGAAGCAGAGAAAGTCCTTTGAATTTTAAGTGTTCCGTGGCCTTTTTTTTTTTTGAGCTGGAGTCTCACTCTGTCACCCAGGCTGGAGGGCCGTGGCACGCTCATGGCCACCGCAGCCTCAACCTGCTGGGCTCTGGCAATCCTTCCACCTCAGCCTTCCAAGGAGCTGGAACTACAGTTGCGTGTTGCCTTGCCCTGCTAATTTTTGATTTGCTGTAGAGATGAGGCCTCACCAAGTTGCCCAGGCTGGTCTCGAACCCTCAGGCTCAGGCAGTCCTCTCACCTCAGCCTCCCAAAGTGCTGGGATCAGCGGCTTGAACCACCACACCTGGCCTCCAAGGTCATTTATAAAAATGTTGCCATATCATCCCTCCTGATGATGAAAGGGTGCGCATGGGCTGTTGGCTTTATCTGAAGGGATTTTAAAAGTTTCTTTTTGGGATGTTGCATCTTTTATTACTTTCCTTCTAGCTCTCTCCCCATCTGGTTCTTTTACCTAATAAGGGCATAGGTACATTTTTTTAAAAGTGATATTAGACACAATAAGGTTTTCATCAGTGTAATAGACTGGAATGAATTATTTAGGAAAAAGTTACTGTGCAATTCCACCACAAGCCACATCTGGAGTTACATTTAAAACAGGTCTAGCCGGGCGCGGTGGTTTCACGCCTATAATCCCAGCACTTTGGGAGGCCAAGGCGAGAGTACTGCCTGAGCCCGCAGGTTCAAGACCAGCCTGGGCCAACTTGGTGAGACCTCGTCTCTACAATAAATCAAAAAATTAGCGGGGCATGGTGGCGCATGCCTGTAGTTCTGGCTACTTGAAAGGCTGAGGCGGAAGAATTGCCTGAGCCCAGCAGGTTGAGGGTGCAGTGGCCGGGAGCGTGCCACTACCCTCCAGCCTGGGTGACAGAGTGAGACTCCAACTCAAAAATTAAAAAAAATTTAAAAAAAAACAGCTCTAAAGCAAAAAAATGAAGAAATGGCACAAGCCCAAATTTTAATTTTGCTGCTTTTTATATTTAGAAAAATAGGAAGAATTATAAGTTCTGTGGTATACCAATAATTTTGAAAGCACTAGTTCTTTCTAAATCAGACTTCAAACAATTTATTTATTTATTGTTTGTTTGTTTGTTTATTTATTTATTTTTGAGTTGGAGTCTCACTCCGTCGCCCAGACGGGAGTACAGTAGCCGCTCCTGGCCACCGCAGCCTCGACCTGCTGGGCTCCGGCGATCCTTCCGCCTCAGCCTTCCAAGTAGCTGGAACTACAGGTGCACGCTACCACGCCCAGCTAATTTTTTGATTTGTTGTAGAGATGAGGTCTCACCAAGTTGCCCAGGTGGGTCTCGAACCCGCGGGCTCAGGCAATCCACTCACCTCAGCCTCCCAAGGGGTGGGATTACAGGCTGAGCCACCGAGCCCAGCTACAATTTATTTTTATTTCAAAGTTTTCTTCCAGCGTTATCAAGGTATACTGAACAAAAAAGTATACATATTTAGCATGTACAATGTAATGTTTATATATATATATATACATACATACATTATGAAATGATGACCACAATCAAGCTTCATAATTAACATATCCATCACCTCATATTAGCACATTTCAAGAATACTTATAGTATTTCTTTTTTTTTTTTTTTTTTTTTTTTTTTTGAGTCGGAGTCTCACTCTGTCGCCCAGGCTGGAGGGCAGTGGCATGCTCACGATCACTGCAGCCTTGACGCGCTGGGCTCCGGCGATCCTTCCACCTCAGCCTTCCAAGTAGCTGGAAATACAGGCGCGTGCTACCATGTCCAGCTAATTTTTAAAAAAATTTATTGTAGAGATGAGGTCTCACCATGCTGTCCATGCTGGTCTCAAACCCGTGGGCTCAGGCCATCATCTCGCCTCGGCCTCCCAATGTGCTGGGATTATAGGCTTGAGCCATCGCGCCCAGCCGAATACCTACAGTATTAACCATAGTCACCTTACTGAACTCAGATTGCCTATCTTGGTCAAAGTGCATACTTAGTCAAAGGTCCAGGTGAAGGATCCTACCTTAATTGATTTAGACTCACATGAATGTATCTAATCATGTGTGCTAACCAGAGAACCTACTCATTAGCTCTTGGGGTTGAAAGAACACAAGATATGATTTTGTGTTTTTTCAACTTCTTCAACAGAAGAGGAAATGAAGGTGATGAAACTTACCTGAGGTCACACAGGTAGTGAAGAGCAGAGAAGAAACCAGAACCAGGGCAGGTTTAGTAATTTTTGCGTTAGTGTACCTTTTATTTTTTATCATGTGGCTCCCTAATCTTTGAGTTTTCCAAATGCAGAATTAGCTTATAAGATAGCATAAATTCTTTTAATGTTACATTTACAGAGGCAGATACACATTCTTGGTTAAAGCTCCCTTTTGGATGTACGCAGATTTAATTATCCTGTCACTGAAAGTATCTCAAGAACTAATTGGAATCGGGCAATATCTTGCATTTGACATGTTTTGTTTTTTGGTGTTTAGGTTTTCCTAGGACATTAGGGCAAGCTGAAGCCCTGGACAAAATCTGTGAAGTGGATCTGGTGGTCAGTTTGAACATTCCATTTGAAACCCTCAAAGATCGTCTCAGCCGGCGCTGGATTCACCCTCCTAGCGGAAGGGTCTACAACCTGGACTTTAATCCACCTCATGTACACGTAAGAACATATATGGTGCTTTCAAAAACTTGACAAGAAAAAGAGTTTTAGTTGAAAAGTGGGTAAAGGATATGAATAAACTATTCAGAAAGAAAAAAAAGCAAATCTACATGGCCAATAACATTTTTTAAATGTTTAAATTCATTAGTAGTCAGGGAAAAGGAAATTCTAGTAAAATAGGCCATCACTTTGGATTCATTGAACTGGCAAAATTAAAAATGGCATAACATCTATTTCTAATGAGGAACTGGGAAAAATGGTACTCTCCTTTTGTTAGATAAAGTATTAGTAGCCTATGTAAAGCATTGTGGCAACATACTTTAAGAGTTTAAAATAGCCGGACTCGGTGGCTCAGCCTGTAATCCCGCGCCTTTGGGAGGCTGAGGTGAGTGGATTGCCTGAGCCCGTGGGTTTGAGACCCGCCTGGGCAAAGAGACCTCATCTCTACAATAAATCAAAAAATCAGCCGGGTGTGGTAGCGCATGCCTGTAATTCCGGCTACTTGGAAGGCTGAGGCGGAAGGATCGCCGGAGCCCAGCAGGTCGAGGCTGCGGTGGCCGGGAGCGGCCACTGCACTCCAGTCTGGGCGACAGAGTGAGACTCCAACTCAAAAAAAAAAAAAAGAGTTTAAAATAAATATTCACTTAGCCTGTGTGAGTGGAACAGCCCATGGAAGGCTACTGGGAGAGTGGTCCTAGCAGATCAGTCACTTATACAGTAATGCTTATGTCAATGTTTTTATAGTGGCCAACACATTAAAAACAAGAAGACTCATAAAAGCCCAGTGAATGTTCATCTGTAGAGAAATGGTTAAATAAATATGAGGACATTCACATTATGTCAGGATATAATTTATTCAGTAAAAAGATGAATTAGCACTTGCTTTTTTTTGAGTCGGGGTCTCACTCTGTCACTCAGGCGGGAGTAGTGGCATGGTCGTGGCACACTGCAGCCTCCGCCTCCTGGGCTCAGGCAGTCCTTCTGCCTCAGGCTTTTGAGTAGCTTGGACTGCGGGTGGACAGCACCACTCCCATCTGGTTTTTTGAGTTTTTTTGTAGAGATGAGATAGATTTCTGTTGCCCAGGCTGGTCTCGAACTCCTGAGCATAAGCAGTCTTCCCCCCTCAGCGTCACAAAGTGCTGGGATTACAGGTGTGAGCCACCACGCCCGGCTGAGCACTATGCTTTTTGACACTTTTTAGAAGTTTCCTAAAAGTCATTCAGTGAGAAAAACAAACAACAGAATGACCCCATTTTTAAAAAGTGACCACACTTCTTTATGTATCTCTGTTTGTGTGTGTATATACCCTCTAGCTTTGTAAAACTGTAGAAAGTCATGAAGGCCATATATATCCTAGACTGGCAAAGAGCTAGTCTGGATAAGACTGGGCCCGGATGAGGGAAAAGAATTACAGTTGATGTGCTTGGGGGCAGGGGAGAAGGTTAAGGCGACAGTGGAGGGCTAAAGAAGCAAAGAAGTCCCTCCAAAAAACATTTTAAAAATTAAGCATGGTGGTATGTGCCTGTAATCCCAGCTACTTGGGAGGCTGAGGCAGAAGGATCACCTGAGCCCAGGAGGTGGAGGCTGTGGCAAGCCATGATTATGCCACTGCACTTCAACCTGGGTGACAGAGTAAGCCCCCAACAACAGCAACAAAAAAGATTGTCCTTGAAAAGAATTTCAAAATATGACATTGATACAGTTATCTAAAGTTGGACATGTGCAACTGTGTGTGTGTGTGTGTGTGTGTGTGTGTGTGTAAGGATTGTTTAACAAATTCACTTAAAGAGTTACTCTCTGATAAAGACAGATTGGACTAATGCATGAATTCAGTCTGATAATACTGAACTCCAGTTATTGGGTGGTAGATAGTATTTATTACTTGTTATCATCCAAATGCGGACAATGTGGCATTGGGTCTTACTGGGCAAATCTTTATGGGAAAGGGTGGGCTTGAATATAAATGGAGTCAGTCATCACTGCAGAAAAGTACTACTGCGGACTAAGAATCCCCTCCCAGCTCCTGAGTGCCATTGTGGCAGTTAAGTCCCTGTGAGACTTGTTCATTTAGAAGACTTCTTTTACAAGCTGGGTGTGGTGGCTCATGCCTGTGATCCCAGCACTCCGGGAGGCTGAGGTGAGAGGATTACCTGAGCTCATCATTTCAAGACCAGCCTGGGCAACTTAGTGAGATCTCTACAACAAACCAAAAAATTAGCCAGGCATGGTGGTGTGTGACTGTAATTCTAACTGGAAGACTGGAAGGCTGAGGCAGAAGGATCACCTGAGCCCAGGAGGTTGAGGCTGTCGTGGCCATGAACGTGCCACCGCACTCCAGCCTGGGTGACGGAGTGAGACGCCAACTCAAAAAAAGAAAAAGAAAACTTCTACAAATGTAAAACCTCTCTCATTCTTTTGTTAGCTCCTTGCCTGTTTCTATCCCAAGAAGCTACAATAGGGGTGAAAATCAGTGGGGAGAAAAAAGGAGTTTGGAAAATACACATGGGCACACACGAAGTCCCACTCATTTTGGCTGTGTCCAGACCTGCTGATGCAAAGTTCTCCCGGTATTTGGAAGGCTTTACCACCACATTGCTTTCTAAAGGCTGGGTATCTATAAAAGAGTGCCTGTGATTACAAATGCTGTTTCTAAAGGCAGTAGCAACCATGCTGACCCAGGCTACCTCTCCTGCCATGGGGCCAAGCTCCCCAAAGGGAGGACTGCTGCTGGTCTGCATTCTTCTTTTCCTTCTGGAAGCAGCGCTGCATTGCTGGTGCTCGGAAATCCTGGGATGACCTCTGAGCTCTGTGGCTGTAAGTGATATAAGGAAGGCAATATGGGTGATATACAGCCTGACCATCCCCGCCCTCCTCCTGTTCTGTGAGGGTAACAACCACGGAATATACATGTGATAATTATGTGGTTCACCCAGAAATTATCAATATAAATCATATACCCAAGGCCCCGAGCTGTGATGGAATTTTAGTGCATTTTAAGTTGACAGTCAGTTTCTGATTATCCAGTGGAGTTGTCTGAGCCTTGTGGTTCTGTTCTGGCTTGTCTTTTGACAGATTTATTTCTTGGGACTATCTTTGCTTGTGAGTAAGAGCTATGGACATGGGAGACAAAACTCAAAATGTGTCCACTTTGTAATTTGTGAAGAGAGGTTTCCTGGGAGGTTAAAACACAATGGAAATGGAGGTTTTTTAAAAAATGATAATTTTTCATTCTCAGAATGTTTGTCCCCGGTTATATGGGCACTTGAGTCCTACCTATTTCAAAACACCTTTAGCTATGCCATTATTTGATAATAATTCAATAAGATAAGTAAATTTCATAGAAGCTGCATGATAGAGTTGGAAAGCTGGCAGAGATGATACTGAAATGTCTGCTCCCGGATTCATATTTTTCCCAAGTAAACCAAGTTGATTTGTTGAGATATTTTATTTTCATTTTTTGGGGTTTTTTTCACCTTTAAATCTTTTAGTTTAAAATTGTGGGGTATAATTCAGGGTTAGGTATACAGACATTCTTTGTGCAGGTACCCTTCTTGATGAGGTGTGGAGATATTTTATTTTCTATATTAAGAACTCAGGCTATAGAAAGCAAGGCAGCCGGGCTTGGTGGCTCAGCCTGTAATCCCGCGTCTGTGGGAGGCTGAGGTGAATGGATTGCCTGAGCCCGCGGGTTCAAGACCCACCTGGGCAGCGAGACCTCATCTCTACAATAAATAAAAAAAATCAGCCGGGCGTGGTAGCGCATGCCTGTAATTCCGGCTTCTGGGAAGGCTGAGGCGGAAGGATCGCTGGAGCCCAGCAGGTCGAGGCTGCGGTGGCCGGAAGCGGCCACTGCACTCCAGTCTGGGTGACAGAGTGAGACTCCAACTCAAAAAAAAAAAAAAAAAAGAAAGCAAGGCAGTTTAGGTGTATGTAGACAGCCAAGGTGACACTGTCTAAAAGTTTGCTGTTGGGGGAGGTTGCATTTATTAACATCACTGGAGCACATTTGCAAAGGATCTGAGCAGTTTATTAAGTAACGAAGATTGCATGTCAGCTCTCAGGAAATAAGGTGAACACCTTGTCAAGTGTGCTGTTTCTTTTTTAACTACCCTCACCATTTCCACTGTCACGAGATCTAATTTATCATATGGCCAGAGTGAAAGGTGGACACATGGTTTTGCACAGGAAAGATCTTACCTCTGGGATGGCCTGATTGTTGTCTGTATTGATTGGCTTCTCTGGTACTTGCAGGGGATTGATGACGTCACTGGCGAGCCATTGGTCCAGCAGGAGGATGACAAACCTGAAGCTGTGGCTGCCAGGCTGAGACGGTACAAGGACGTGGCAAAGCCGGTCATCGAATTATACAAGTGAGTATGCCTGAGTGTCTTCACGGCAGTGGGCCCACTGGGAAGGACACTGGACTGAGGTCGAATAGCTTCTTTACACTGGATAAACTCGAAAGACTAGTACCTCCTAGATGTCACACAGAATACTGGGATTGGCGCGGGAGATGAGATCCAGTGCTTTTATCCCCAAAGTGTTAGAACCTGAGGACCTAAACGTCATTATCTCTGTCTGTTCTGGATGTAAAATGGCGTGTCAACTTGTTTTTATTTTCCTTTTAAAGTGACTGAGATAATGGTCTGTATATTGACACCCCCACATGTAAATAATGTGATTTGTATGGGAGATTGGAAGGGACGTTTGGTGTGTCCGTAGGGACTTTAACAGAGAAAAGCTAAAGCCAGACTGAAAATGCAGATGGTTGCAGGGCCAGGCAGGTATTGGAAAGGAGTCTCACACCTGGTGAAAAAAGTGTCAAGCTGGGCACTGAGTGACAGCTGAACTGGACAGGTCCTAGGCTGGGCCAGCCGAGGCTCCATCCTGCCATTCAGGAGAAGCAAAAAATCTGTCTTTGTGTGTGTGTGTGTGTGTGTGTGTGTGTGTGTGTGTGTGTGTGTGTGTGT